GTCCTCATTTTGGTTGATGCATGCCGTTTGCATTCCTGCCTTGGCGATATTTCTGCTATGACCTCTCATTGCCAACTGTAAATCATCAGCTATTTTTCTTGAATTGCACAGTCATCTCAATATGAACAGTAAGTGTGTTACTTCTTTTTATGGTGTCAATTACATTGCTGGTTAGCTTGTTGCTGAATTCTGAGCTAAGACCACAAGAAGAACCCTGCTCAGTCGGACCAAAGGACCGTCTAGTCCAGCACAGTGGCCAGCCAGATGTCTGTGGGAAGCCCTATGAGACCTACTGCTTGTGTTTCACAGCAGCTGGTATTCCAAGGATCTGATTCTGGAGGTAGTGCCCAGCCACTATGACTGGTAGCCTTTTCATCAATGAATTGCTCCAAGCCCCTTTTCTCTGCATCAGACATAATTTTATACATGTATTATTGTTATTGATTATATTTTCTATCTGCGCTCCATCAAAATGTCCCAGCGTGGGTTACATAGGATATATAGATGCAATTAATACAGTAACAAACAAACAATCCCCAACACACCCACACACCCACACACCCACATACATGGAGGACACAAATCAATTCTTCAGCTTTCAAAGGCCACGGTAAAGAGATGCATCTTCAGCCATTGACAGAAGCTGTAGAGATGATGCCAGATGCATCTCTGTGAGTAGGGAGTTCCACATTACTGGGGCCAACACCGAGAAGGCCCTCTCACAAGTCACGGCCCACAGAAACTCTGAAAGTAGAGAAGCCACCAAGAGGGCGTCATTTAGGGCTTTGAACATTAGTGTAAGCATCTTGAATTGGGTTTAGAGCTAACAGGCAACCAGTGTGGTTACTTTAGAAGTGTAGCATGGGTTCTCACAGTAGATGGCACTAGTTGTAGCTTTCAAATAATTTTGAAGAGCACATTGCAATATAATCTGGCAGTTAGCAAAACATGGAGTGGTCAAGACATCTCTGTCTTAAGGGGGCCACAGATGGTGAACCAGCTGGACCTACAATAAGGCACTCCTAGCCATGCAGGTTACCTGCGGCAAGAAGTACTTTTCAGGGACAAAAAATATATGCAATAGATGTGTGAATGCAATTCATGTGTGGATTGGGGCGGGGGAGTACTCAGTCTCCATTGATTCTGGAATAAAATAAAATGTTGCGTGTACACAGCCTTAACAGATTTATTTGGGTTCTGTTCCTAAATTGATCAGTTTACAAAGCAGCAAACATAATTTATACATAACGAAATACAGACTCTTAATCTGACCAACATGGGGAGGTGTAACTTCAGAGGAATAAAACAGCTTTATGCTGAGGAAAGGAACTCAAGGAATTAAAACTAGGGCTACGATATTTAGTTGCCAATCTGTTAGAACAGGCACGTCCAACTCCCAAGAGACTGAGATCTACTCCCAGTATAATAAAACTGGCAGTGATCTACCCATTGTCATTAGGAGGAGCGTGCGTGGGGTGTGCGCGTGTGTGGAAAGGGAGGATTGCCCAGAGTTCCTGAGCTTGTTGATCTTTTTTTACCGTGGGCAGCGGGGGGGGGGGGGGAGGCTAACCATTAACTATGATACTAACAAGAAGACTATAAAAGATCACCCTTTCAATGCTACGTAGGGACAGAGCGAGGGGGGCAGGGGCGGGAACATTCATTATACATTGCTTTTAATCCCATGATCAATAAAGATCCTGCGATCAACCGCAATCATCCAGGGATATACCTGTTGATCATGGTCGACCGGTTGGACATCACTGTGTTAGAAGATCATTCTTTTTCTACAACACATGTGTACATAATCTAAAAACAAAGGGAATACTTTGCCCTCAAAACTATTATTTTCACTCATTTCCAAATTTAATTGTTTAGTTCATTGACTAAAGGCAGCAAACCCATTACCCCTTTCCTGGGAGTAAATCTCACTGAACTCAATGGGACTTCCTTCTGCGTAGACATATAAAGGCTTGCACTGTGAAAATCCATGTAGTGTAAAACTCATATTATTAATTAACTTAAAGGTCATAGTCCCAATTAAAATTTCTGAGATCCAGAAACCAATATAATCTAGTAGAAGAGCAAAATTAAAGCTAGAATAAATGTTCTCTTTTTCTAATCTATTTTTTAAAAAGATTATCGTAATTATTTTTTATTTAAATTGCAGTAGCATTATAACAAGGAAATAATAGGGTGGGGGGAAATATTTGATTTGCAAATATATGGAATATGTAAGATCTTCTCTGATTGGAATGAAAGTTCCTGAATCCATACTATATTTCCAAGGTCAATGTGATGGTAGCACTGCAGACTTTTACAATTTCAAAAGGAAACCTAAAGTATAAGAAAGTTTGATGTAGCTCTTCAAATGGTTTACTATAAAGAAAGACCACAAGGGTATTCAAGTGTAATTCAGCCTCCTAGAATATTGCTGAATTTTCTCCTAAAAGCTATTAGACACATTTGACTGGGTTTTCTTCCAGCTTCTTCGATGAGGAAGGCCTTTGGAATTTCTTGTCCCCGCTGACCCTTTCAAGGAAGTTCTGAAGGATGGTTTTTTCTGCACAAACAAGTGAAAGAAAATGTATCACTAAAGCTAGAATAACCAGACATACGCAACATCAATAATGATTTCACATTAGCACAGGAAATAGGTGGGATATCAAAGGGTCAAATCAGATATGACATTAACATATCTTTGCTTTTTTTGTATACGTTCTGTTTGTTTTACATTGGGCTTTTTTCCCCAAGCAACTTGTTTCCTTACTGGATCAGAAAGAGCTGACTGGACTGGACTCCAAGGGGTCAATTACTCTCCAGTTTTCCCACTGCCTTTTGGTACAGTATGTCAATGATTGTGTGGGATGGATCTTAGTGTACTGAGGGAAGCAACAGGAATTCTCCCTTATAATTAGTTTAAAGGAAGCCATAAGAGGTAGAATCTCCTTCCAGTGTGGCCCAGTCCCATGGTTGGACCCTTACTGGTCTCCCTTGGAACTTGCTGGGCCTGCAACTGTTTGCTTTCTCTACTTTGCTGGGCATAGCTATGGGCCCAAAGCAGCCAGGGAGCAGGGGTGGGCAAAAATTGAGATAGTTAGGCAAAGGCACTGATATTCCTTCCGCTTTCCCCAATGTTCCAGTCTTTGAGTTTCTAAGCTCTCTTGCCCATTCACAGTCACTCGCTTTTATTTACACTTCACCCATTCACTTGCTCATCCATTTGCTCACTGACTTACTTACCGGGATACCTGTAAAAAATACATCATATTTATATTCTGTAATTCTGCAGCTTTTCTCAGAAAAGTGGCCTATAAATAGTACACACACACACATTCACTAATTCACTAACTCAACCAGTCATTTCCCCACCCTCTCATTCACTTGCCCGCTTTGGTTAGCTAGGACTTTTGGGTGGTTAAGCTATTGGTGACAGCAGAAGTGTCCACCTGTCTAGGCCTTACAGTGTGCCAGCCCACCAGCTACCTAGGGAACCTAGTCATCTGTTACACCAGGAGACCATAAAAGCAACACACCAACTACCTGGAAGCAGTAAGTGGCTCAAGTAGTAGCTGAGCTCAGTGAGATAGACCTTAGGCACCAAAACCCCGTAGGTCAGTCGTGTGCACATTAGATGCAAAGACAAACTTAATGCTATGTCCAGTTTGTCCCAAACTCTGTCTAGTTAGCCTGTAACAAAATCAATCCTTCTAACCAGAAATAGTTTTGTCATACAGACCAGGGGTAGACAGATGTCTAGGCTCATGCAAGTTTGTTTTCCCCTCCCTACAGGAACCCAGAGGTTCATCAGGTGCAAGCATACCCTTAGAATTAAATAATGTTGAAACGAGGAAATTGTTCCAAGTATCAGAACTGAAACTGATCTCATAGTGCTTCCACACACAAATCCACTCTTTGTTACCACCCCACACCTATTTTCTTTATTTCAGACATATAATTTGGAGGGACAGGGAGTCATTTTGTTGCTGTGGGGGTCAGAAATCCTTGCCAAGGTAATGGGAATCATCCAGAGATTGCCCATAGATCCTGGCCTACCATCTCTCCACCCCTGATATAAACTGGAGGGTTGATGTTAGGGATTGGCATAATCAGGCACCTGTCTAGACCAGTGTTATTTTTCTAGAAAAAGGGGTGCTGGAACTCACTATGAAGGCCTCCCTTGTTCTTCTATTAATAATCATAATCATAATCATAATAACTATTATTACTTATTGAATTTATATACTGCCCTTTACCCAGGAGTCTCAGGGTGGTTCACAGAATAAAACCAAGATATAAAACCACAAGATACCTAATAAAAATAAAAACAACAACCCAATAGCCCCCCACAAATAACACATTTTAAAAGGGCATAGGCTGTAAATTGGATCAACCAAAGGCCTGGTTAAAAAGGAATGTTTTTGCCTGGCGCCTAAAAGTGTATAATGAGGGCACCAGGCAAACTTCCCTGGGGAGAGGATTCCACAGACGGGGAGCCACTGCAGAGAAAGCCCATTCTCGTCTTGCCACCCTCCGAACCTCTGAATTGGTAATGGCACCCACCTGAGAAGTGGCAGAACTGAGTTCAAGCTGAAAAAAAGCCCTGGTCTAGGCCCATGCCCACTACCAATCCCTAGAGCCTCCTGTCCTGACCCTTCCTCTGGTTTCTGCTGAAAACAAGAATATGTTTCCTGTGACTCCGACTAGGCAGTGAGATATATATTTTTTGTGATAAATGAGGTGAGTGAGCCTTTAGCGGGCTCACGTGTAAAATTATGCCCAAGCATATGTACCCCGAGCCGCTCTACAGTTTCTCCTTCCTTGTTACTCCTCAGGTCCTGCCACACACACAGCCTGCTATGAGGCAATGTGAGAATCCGGTTTTCTCCAAATGGCCGAAGGATGTGACAAACAAAGGGGATGGTCAGTAATAGGACCAGAGGAGGACCAGGGCAGGAGGCAGCAGTTGTGAAAATCATTGCATCAGCATTGGGCATTACCTATATTTTTCAGAGGAAATCCTTCTGGGCTTCCTATAGGAAATACCTGGAAAATAAAAAATAGGCTAGGAATATGTTGTTGTTTTTCCTTGACAGAGGGTCTGTGCTTTAGCAGCTGCATGAAAAGCAGAAATTCAAAAGGTGTGGCTTTCCACCTGTTACTGCAAGGATGAGGAACCTGTGGCCCTCCCAGTGTTGGGGGACTACAACTCCCAGAATCCCTAGCACATTGGCCATGCTGGCTGGAGCTGATGGGAGTTGGAGTGCCATAGGTTTCCTTATCCCTGTGTTACTGCGGCACCATCTGGAGGAAAATGGAGCCTGCTGAATCTCTGCCATGCACAGAGCCTCTTTCAAGAAAAAAAGAATATATGGCAGTCATCACAGAGCAAAGAAAAAGAGAAAGAGCACTGCCCTGTAACCCTTCAGAGAGAAAGCCCCAGAAAAACCCTACAAAGCGGGTGGGAAGGTGGAGAAAATAACTCACTGGCTTCGTATATAGTCACCAAAACAGCACAGATAATTCGGCCATCACATCAAACTTAATAGGAGGAAACAAAGATGCCTGGTGTGCTTCTGTCACTAAGTAGACCTGGATCTAGTCAGCAACCTGGATGGGAACAGCTAGGATATCATTCTAGTGATGCATCATCCAATATCCCAAATATAATTCAGTTCTCTGAGTGCCAAAATGGCAATAGTCATGCACAAGATGGAGGTATCAGCAAACCAGGGGTAACCTTGAGGTTTTTAGAGAAAAGAGAAATGGAGGAGAAGAACCCCCCCTTCAAACAGCCCAATGAGGGCTGAGCATACTCAGTGGCCACAGAATGCTTTCTGCCGGATGAGTTAAAAAAGAAACCCTGAAAGCTGGGAGGAAAGGGGAATGGAACAGAGAGATGGGGGAAAGGCAGAAGAGGAGACACATAGATATAAAGACACATGCACTTGCTCTCTTGATAGTAGCCAACCACTGCCCATTCTCTCTCAGCAGCCAGCAACTTGAAATGTCTGGTGTGTATGCAGCCTTGCTCTCCCCCATGGGCTCCTGCTCATTCATTCACTCTTGCATCAGCCAGCACCTGACCGTTCACTTGCTCACTCACTCACTAGTCAGCAAGCCACCCATTCACGTATTCATTCACCCGTAGGCTCTCTGCTGTTCCGCCTCTCACAAGCCATTCACTTGTTCTCTCACCAGCAATCTGCCTACCTGTTCAGTTGTTCTCTTGGCAGCTGCCAGTCACTTGTTTACTCGGAGTAGGGAGAGCTTCGAAGCCTCCCCTCTCCAAACATACACGTACACACAACTTTTTCTTGCAAGACCCCCAACTTGTCCCCATTCTTTCCCATCTTCAGTCAAAAACATGCACAGCCAAAACAATATCACAAACAGAAAGATATGTCAGCAAACTCAGAGGAACCTAGAGGTCAGCAGAAGTAGGAAAGATCTTTAGGAGGAAACCCCAGGGGGAAGTAGAAAATAAAACCAAACATCCCGACGAAGACTGAGCAATGTTCAGTTGCATTTGAGTGCTGACTGACAGTTTAAGGGTGGGACCACAGGTGGGAGAATGGAGTATCCTGGAAAAGGAAGATGGAGGAAGAGACACATAGATTTAAAAAGGGGAGAATTATCACATTATCTGGATAGGACATGTCCTGCTTTGCACTGAGCATGACCTCATGGATGGAAGTGAGAACTGCCCATAGACATCAATGGACAAATCTAAATTCTTAATGTAGTTGGATTTGGGCACCAGTACTCCACCCACCCTAAAAAAACCCAAAAGGTAGCAGTAGCAGCAAAGAGAAAAGCTCCTGCTGTTTTAACTCAGTTAATATTTCAGGTGAAACATGCATTTTAAAAAATAACCAGCTAATGCAAATTCCAAAGCAAATGGTGTCAATTGTCCCGATACTGGAAGTTGGAGAGGCTGTGCTTGGGACAGCTTTGCAATGTAGATCACACTAAACACTGCAAGTGGTTTACAACTGGAGTGTTGTCCAGATGTATTAGACCACTACTGCAGTTGGGAATTAGGCAGAGGCTGTCTGTAATATACAACAACCCTGCAATGTTAATCCACTGTTTTTATCCCCATACTGCATGTTGGGCTGAGGAAGTAGGCTGCAACAGCATTGTGTTATGTTGTATATCCCTATTACAAGTTGGAGGGCTGTGCTGAGAGAGTAGAGTTGGCTTCCTCCAGTGAGAAATCCCCTCTTAGGTCAATCTACTTAATTTCCCTCTCATACTTCCTCCCAGGTCAATTCAAGTACTCAATAGCATGCAGGAGCCTTATGCTCTACTGACTGCCATGCAAACTGGTGACCCTTGGAAATACTAGAAAACCAAAATTGTGGACATGGACCCAAATTACAGCAGAGACTCCTGTCTTTCATGCTAACTTTGGGGGAGTTTTCTACCTCCTCGGCCATGGATGGCTACACACACCCAAGATACACTGCAACATTTTGTTGCAGAGCCCCACTTGCATCATTTTAATCTCCTGGGACATAGGGCAGGAGATAAATATTATGACTAATTTGATCATGTACAGTGTTCAAACTATCCTGGTCCTACAATTCCCTGCAGCAAACATGCATAGAATCTATAGTAGTTGAAACTGCATGTTTTAAGTCTCAAGACTGTCAAGTAATTCATTTGGTTGAGCAAACAGAATCAGATCAGCTCTACAAATGGAAAAATGAGAACACTTAGAAGATTTTGTCATTCAGGAAGTCTTCGCTGCTTTTGGCTCCCCCAATGCCTATTGCAGTTTATTATCCTCCACCCCTACCTACCTGGAAGAGGAGCTCTGTCCACATATGCTTTAATTTCTTCTGGGTCTAAAGAATTCAAAACGGACAGGATCTCATTATAATCTTTCCCAAAATCTCTTTGGTATGTGGTCAGATGTTTGGTATGTTCATGATTCCAGATCTGAGCAAAAGATACTGAAGGAACTGTGAAGAGAAGCCAAAAAGAGAGAAGTGAAACCATGAAATAAAGAAACCACACCACCGTTCCCCCGCCCCTTCCTCTGGAATGCTCTGGCTTTCCAATTCCAAGTTTTGTCATAATAATGACAAAGGATGCCTCTCAGGTGGTCTGCTGTTCAGGAGTACCCACAACGGCGGAGCATGATTCTGATGGACTTTCCCCCTATAGGTCAATAACTCATATGCTGTGATTTCTACTGATGGAACTCATAGATGAATGTAGCCAATGACACCTTTGCCTATAACAAGCACTAATGTAAATAAAATCACAAATCAATATGCAGGACCTAACATTTCACAAAGGCAGGGACTTAGTTAATAATGATCTACAATTTCCAAAGCACATGTACTTTTCCAAATGTGCACTTGTTTTCCAATTATATGGAGTCTAGAATTCTTTCTGTGAGATAGTACTTGGTTTGCCTTTTTCAGGCACTCAAATAGCACATAATTGATAGCTGTGAAAATACAACTTCCCCATAATAGCATGTAATAATTATTAGCCCTTTGTGAAATGTAGTCAACACATTCTCTATTCAATATTGCCTGCAATGCTGATTTAGGGGATATAAAGAAGAAGCTGTATTTTCTTTTCCTCTTTTTAGGCAAGGACAATACTGGAGTGGGAAGGAACCTATTTTAGGTTATATGGTGGATTGGGTTTCTCTTGTTGAATTCTTAACTGTAATGCTTACCGTATTTTTCGCTCTATAAGAGGCACGTTTTCCCTCCTAAAAAGGGGAAATGTGTGTGCGTCTTATGGAGTGAATGCAGGCTGTGCAGCAATCCCAGAAGCCAGACCAGCAAGAGGGACCACTGCGCAGCGATCCCTCTTGCTGTTCTGGCTTCTGGCTTAGCTGCACGAAGCCTCTTCAGGGCAGGGGAGCCTTCATTCTGCGCAGTGATCCCTCTTGCTGTTCTGGCTTCTGGGATTCAGAATATTTTCTTTCTTGTTCTCCTCCTCCAAAAACTAGGTGCGTCTTATGGTCTGGTGCGTCTTATAGAGTGAAAAATACAGTAATTATGCTGATGTAAGCCACCTTGGATATTTTTCTTGGAAATACCCTTTAAAAATAAAATTAAAATTAAAAAGTTCTTTAAAAATAAAGCAATGATAGAATAATTTAGTGGCGAGTTTCTTCAAGCTAACCACATGTGTCGCCTTGCCCCTGTGACTGAGGGGGCCCAGGGCTGCATGATGTCAGCACCCCCAGCGGTGTGCAGACGTCGTCCATGCATGCCATGGGGCATACATGGCCGTTGGAAAAGTTTAGAGGGCCTGGCCCTCTGATTTGAAATTTTGGGAGGGGCCTTGGCCCCCACTGCCCCCTATACTTGGTGCCGTGGTTTCATTGTGGTAGATGCCAAGACCATTGCCTATTCCATAGTAAGAGCAATTCTCCTATGCAACCTACTGGGTGTATGTGGCTCTTGAGAGAAGAAATCCTCTTTCTCTCATTTTCTTTGGAAACCTCAGCATCACTACTCAAATATGTAAACAAAGCTAACCTTGAAAGTATTATCTGCCTACATTTGCAAGAAAATGGGGTTCAGTGAACCAAATTCCAAAACTGGGCATCAAACCCAGAGTTTCATCTATTTTATTGCACCCAAAAATATCCTTACCAGCGCCTTTCACTGGAATATGGCGCTTCGCATTACATCCATATTTCCAAGTATAGTCCCTTAAATCTGGATTATTGGCTTGGGGCTGGTAATTATGCCTGAATTCAGTATCTGGTGGCTTGGGGACTAACATTTTCCAGTCTGAAGGAGCAGGAGCACCATCTCTTGGAGCACCTGAAATGAAAAAGTAATGATGCGGCAAATGTAAAGAGCAAATAAATTTCTTTTTATAAAAAATGTGGAGGGGAAATCATGCAAAAAGCAAATGACAGAAAGCCAGTTAGGCTGCAGTCCTAGACACACTTTCATGGGAATTAAGTCCCATGGAACTTAACGAGGCTTACTTCTTAAAAAGTTGGAAGGGACCTCAAGGGCTCATCTAGTCCAACCCTCTGCAATGCATGAATCTCGACTAAAGCATCCATGACAGATGGCCATCCAACCTCTGCTTAAAAACCTCCAAGGAAGGAGAGTCCATAACCTTCCAAGGGATTCTGTTACACGGTTGAACAGACATAAAGTTCTTCCTAATGTTGAGTCAAAATCTCTTTTCTTGTAACTTGAAGCCATTGGTTCAAGTCCTGCCCTCCAGAACATAAGACAAGCTTGTGCCATTTCCCATGTGACAGCCCTTTAGATATTTGAAGGTGGCGATCATATCTCCTCTCAATCTCCTCTTTTCCAGGCTAAACATACCCAGTTCTTTCAGCCATTCCTCATAAAGCTTGGTTTCCAGACCCTTGATCATCTTGGACAAATGCATATGATTTCTTTACCAAACATGAGACTCTTAATCTCAGGATCGTGTGTTCAAGCCCCACATTAGGCAAAAGATTCCAGCACTGCAAGGTGTTGTGATCCCTTCCAACTCTACAATTCCATGATTCTTTGATTCTAGGACATACAGAATCTAAGTTAAATGCTATCTTCCATGCCAGACTGGAGATGTTTCTGACTGAAACATGCCTTTTTGGCTTTCAACTATAGATGCAGCCGTAAACCTCAACATGACCTCAATAATAATATTGTCAAAGAAGGAAGGGAAGCCAAAGTCCTCACCTGGTTGTATTCCTAAATAATCTCTCGCATAAGCTGTTTTATACTGTTTTTTTAATACATCCTCGATCTCTTGCTTACTAATAGGTTTCGTCCAAGGTGAATAACTTTCTATAGATATTGGTGTTTCCTCTCGAGGCATTTGCCAAATCAGGAACCGCTAAGAATGTAGAAGGGGGGGGGAGAGACTGAATATGAAAATGCTGATGAAAAATTCATTTCATATAAACCGGTCTTCTACTTTATTATGCTCTATTGTTCAATAATCATTTTTTCTCTTTCTAAGGAACATGCCTATAAACATGTCAGATTAAACCACAGTTAAGAACAAACTGTGGTTTAATAACCACAGTGAATAAGCAAAGTGCTCAAAAGTTCTTGCTGAGTTCCTCCTTGGGCAACCATCGGTCCATCTAGTTTTAGTGCAGAACATAGAAGCTAGATTGTTAACTGAAACAATAAACTATGAACATATAATGCTGGTCCTGGCACAACCACACTGGTTGCCAATTAGTTTCCAGGCCCAATTCAACCAATGTTGGTTTTGAGCTTTAAAGCCTTAGACAGCTTTAAAGGACCACCTTTCCTCATAGGTACCCACCCAGACCCAGAGATTGCCATCTGAGTCCTCTGTAAACACCACCTTCAAGGGAGGTCTAGAGAGCAGTGACAAGTCTTCTCTGCAGTAGCTCCCTGTTTATGATGGAATGCTCTCCCCAAGGAGACCTGCCTGAGCCAACCATGTGATTATTTCAGTGCCAGGCAAATATGTTGTTTCCCCCCCAGTCATATATCACATTGACTGGCAGCAACTCTTCAAGGTTTCAGATAGGATTCTTTCCCAGTCCTACCTCAAGTTCTTGAGGGTTGAATCAGGAACTTCTGCATGCAATGCACGTGCTCTGCTATTGAGCTAAACCCTATGCTTTGTGCATGACTGTTCCAAATTCTGCTGAGGCCAAACTAGATGTGACATTAAGCATACAATGGGTTCCTGTGTGCTTGGCTTTTGTTTACTAAATCTCAGGCACTGCAACCCCCTCAGCCCAACCCAGAGTGGGATTGCGGCTTGGGAAAAGAACAGATCTAACCTTTTGCCTTGACAGTCTTTTAAATCCAGATTGGATTCCCCACAGCTGCTACCTGCCCCAGAAGAAAAGTGGCTCTTAGCATGTTTACTTGGCGTCTCATTCAACTCAAGTGAAACTTGCTTCTGAGTAAACACGCATAGAGTTGGGCTGCATGCTTCTGGTTGCTAAGTCTTTCCTTTCCCCTGACAATCCTCTTTGACGGATTGGTGTTTCCAAAACCAGATATCCTCCAATAGGTCATTTCATATAAAAGTAAAATGCAAAGCACATGTAAAACCTTGGGTAGAGCAAGTGCATTCCTTACTTCTCCAGGCTGAGGATTGTTTCTCCTTGCAGAGCCAGCCCTTATAGGTTCAGCCTTGGAATAAGGCTTCCAACAGAACTCATCTCTGTAGTTATTCCTTCCAGTAGGCTCATCTACTTGAAAGGGAATGACATGCCCTTTGCCTGCTCTGGCACTGCAAGAAACAATTGAGATGTTAATGAAATACAATCATGGCTGCTACCTTTCAACTGCTCCTGTTTTAAGTACAGTACAGTGGATGCTCGGGTTGTGAACGTGATCCATGCATCTGTGCGTCTGTGCACACGTGGGTTGCGATTCGGCGCTTCAGTGCATGCACAAAACACAATTTAGCGCTTCTGTGCATGAGCGACCGCTGAAACCCGTGGTCCATAACCCGAAAAAATGCAACCTGAAGCGCCTGTAACCCAAGGTATGACTGTACTTAAGAACTGTCTTATCCTAGTTGGATCATCTAGCTGAGTACAGTGGTACCTCTGGTTGCGAACGGGATCCGTTCCGGAGTCCCATTCCCAACATGAGCAGAACGCAACCCACGTCTGTGCGTGCGTGGGTCATGATGTGCCGCTTCTGCATATGACGTCATTTTGAGCGTCTGCGCATGCGTGAGCGGTGAAACCCAGAAGTAACCCATTCCATTACTTCCGGGTCAACGCAGGACATATCCTGAAAGAACGTAACCTGAACTGAACATAACAAGAGGTATGACTGTATTGTCTTCACCAGGGGCGGAGGAAGGGGGGTGCGGTGGGGGCAGGTCACCCCGGATATCACCACTGAGGGGGGGTGACAAAATGCCGGGCGGCACTCACCGCGAGGCCTGCAGCGCGCCCAAGCCACGCGTTTCTCCTAGGAGTGGCGCGGTAGCTTGGGTACCAGCAGGCTCCGCACTGCCCCAAACGGTCCACCCGCCTCCTCCCCCTCACCTGTAGAGAAGCTGAGGAGGAGGCAGGCAGACTCCTCAGAGGCCCCGCAGAGCATCCTGCCCAGGTAGGGCTGGAAATGACCCACATCTGAAACCCTGATGATCTGCTGCCAATTTTGTGTGAAGACCAGTGATGGAGCAAGCCGGTCAGGCCCCTGGGCACAGGGCACATGTGCCACCCCAGGCGCCCGATCGGCTTGCTCTGACGCTGGTCTTCACACAAAATTGGCAGCAGATCACCAGGGTTTCAGATGTGGGTCATTTCCAGCCCTACTTGACTTGAACCTGGGACCGACTGCATGCAGAACATATGCTCTGTCACTGTGCTGAGGCCTTGCCTCCATTGGGAAGGACAGGAGGAAGCAGATGCAACTGAACCAGAGACAAGGGAGAGGTGAAAAAGAGACCATAGCTCAGTGATCGAGAACATATGCTTTGCATGCAGAAGGTTCCTGATTCAGTTATTGGAATCTCCAGTTTAAGGATCAGAGTATGTTAAAGACTTGCACCTGACACACTGGAGAGCTGCTGCCAGTCTAAGTAGACAACTGGACATTTTAGAGAGGAAGTGTTCTAAAGGAAGGAACTGTGAAGGAAAGGGAGCAGTGAAAGCAAAATTTGGTAGCTGTGATGGTTTCATAAGATGGGGGGGGAGTTGGTCTTCCAGATGTTGCTTGACTACAAGTCCCATCATCCCTGACCATTAGCTATGCTGGCTGGGGTTGTTGGAAATGGGAGTCCAACCACATCTGGAGGGCCAACTCTGCTCTGCCAGCTCCTTGTGCTACTTTTGGTGGCATATTGCATGTGGCAAGGCAACCTCTAGAAGACACCAGGAGCTCCCACCTGCCAAATGTCTCTATATGGACATTAAAAGTGCACAGAGCCCCTCCAGCCCAGAATTTCACAGCCTTAAACAACATGTGTACTCCAGGCCCAAAAGGTAACAGGGGCTCAATTTCTAGTTGTATTCAGGGCAGAGCATTCTATATAGTCTCCAAAGTGAAGCACTTTAAATATTATTTCTACATGATAGTTATAGGGCCAAACTACCGGTACTTGTTACTTTACACAATCTTTTATCTTCACTTTCCTTTTCTAGTGGTGCTGATCAGATACAGCATGGGGAAGGTAATGTTTTAAGATACATGCTAATAAAAGGAGCCAAACAGCAAAGGCTTTTGAAAAGAATGCTTGAATGGTTTGAATAAGTTAAATCTGTATCATCTTACCAATCTGCACCAGGATCTGTTGCAGGATTAAAGACAAAATCGTGTCTCATTGTCGTTTCATAAGGATCCCACTTTAGTCTGCCTACTAAAAACAGCAACTGTAAGTGCTATAAATTCTAAACACTTACTAGTGTAATTTCTTTTTACTAATCAGTAATGAGAAAAACAGTGGGTGAACTATTTCCCCAAAAACTATTTGAAGTGTCTTGGCACCAATGAGAGCTTGTTTCTCAATGCAAATAACAGCCTTTGGGAAGGTGGTAATCTGGATCAGAACCACAGGGTCCTCCTTTTCCCATGAGGTGAACCTGATCGAGATTGCCCTTCCCAAAGCATATTATTTCCTTTAAAAAAATATAACTATGCAGCAGTTAGTTGCATAGTTATTGTCACATTGAGGTGATCACTTAAGTTACAGATACAGAAAACAGCCTTACATTTTAGCCAGTTCACGAAACTGCCTATTCTGCATTGCCTTTTCTCTCTCTCAGAACCAGCCAACTGGCACTCTACCTTTGCAAAGAACCTTTACAAAGCAACATTCAGGATCCATTCTGATTTGATTTAAAGAGACAGTACCCTATCCCTCCCAATAACTTTCTGCCACTTATCAGTGTTCTCATATACTGTTCTCATAATGTGCGTTGTAGAATACTCACAACAACCATCCATGTAACAGTGAACATAAACTGTGAGAATGGTAAAATAAAAAAGTAAGAAATCCTCTCGTGTGTATTCCAAACTAAATAAAAATAAAAATTAGTCATCCTCAGAATCAATTGAATTTTTAAAAGCTTAATTTTGACCGGACGGTGTCCTTACACAGCCTATGTGCCAACTAGGTACAGTTAATACACTTCAAAAAATTTAAAAAATAATAATTATTTTACTAAATTTACTTCTTTGAGCAATGTTGCTTGCAAGAAAAGATATGTGAATGAGTAAAACAAAAGTTCTGGGTTACTCATCCAGTTGTTTGAATATTATTTCATAATTTGCTAAGCCTTGCAGGAACACATGACTTGCAGGAATTCAACTGGTACATTTTTTTCTGGAAAGCACCAGGCTTGAATGCCAGTGGATAAGAAGTTTTATTCCCCCCCCCCTGTCTCTCATGGTACCCCTGATTTCTACCATTAAAAGGGCTTTGTGCCTTTTACATTATGTTATGTTTACATTATGTTATGTTTGCAACTTCCATAATTCATGTTTATTTTGCCTTTTGTCTCAGGAGCTCATGGTGGCCTTTCCCTATCATATCTTCACAACAACCCTGTAAGGTAGATTAGCTTGCGAGAGAAAAGGTCCAAAGTCACACTGTGACCTTCATGGCTGAGTGGGGATTTGAACCTGGGTCTTTACCAGTCCAAGACCAACTCTCTAACCATGTGGCTGGTTACCAGCAGGAGAGTTACCAGCAGGGCCTGCTCAATAAATTTTGGCACCTGAGGCGAACCATGAAATGACTAGTTATAACTTGAGGTAGATGAAGTGCCGAAGAAAGATGAAGGGCCGGCCCACCTATGAGGCAAGGTGAGGCAACCGCCTCAGGCGGCAGGATCCACAGGGGCAGCAGATCCAGATGTAGCTCTTTATTCCCCTCTTGTCCCTGATGTAGAGCTTCACTCATCCCCTTTTCCCTGGCGGGGCGGGGGGGGGGGAGGACGCCATTTTGTGGTCTCCCTCAGGTGCCAAAATCTCTTGGGCCTGCCTTGATGACTAGCTTGCATATTTTATTAAAGTATTCCAGGCATGCATAATATTGTGACCCTAACCATGCATAACATAATCAAACCAATATATGATCCCCGCCCCGACTCAAATCCCACCTAACTCTTGCTACCCCTACCCCCTACCCCGCTCCCCATAGCAAAGTTATCTGGCAAGGAGCTAAGGGCAAAGAACTTCACGGTGGGTAATGCGCAAGCTCCTTTCCTCGCGCCTGCGCGTCCTGGGCGTTCTAGATCTCCCCCCCCCCCCCCGCGTTCTAACCCTCTGAGCGAAGCGCGGAAAGTTTTCTCACCCGGGGGCGCCGGCCGCGCTGACCTGGGTCTCCACGGGGGGATAAAGGGAATGGAGGCCGGTGGCGGCGGCATGGCGGTGCCATGGATGGGCGGCAGGAGAGGGCCGGCCTCGCGCTCTGGGGGCTCCATGCGGGCCGGGTTAGCTCCAACCCACCCGAGCGCTGTATTCCGCTGCCGGCGAGGGGGGCGCAGAAGAGAGAGGGCGAAGGGAGGATGCCGCGCCAAGACGGGCGGCGGAGCTGTCGGGAGGCGGCGGGGGACACCCTGGGCGCTGCTGGCCGCTCGGTTGCCCCGGCGCCGGGCTTGTTATTGTGACCAAGGGAGGGAGCCGGTGACTTTACACCCTTTCCTGCCTCGCCAGGGCAGGGTGAGGTTTCACAGCAGGCAGGAGGGCAGAGAGGGAGGTCGCCTCCGGGGTGGCCAGAGAAAGTGGTCCTTTTAAAGTCCACCACAGCAAGTCCATGGTTTATTAAGATGGCAGACGGCTCGTGTGATGATGATTTTGTAATAGATGGGCATATCTGTTCTTTTTGAATTTTGGAGTTTTTGGATAGATTCCCACGGTGGGATCTACGCACATATAAAAACCGTTCTGAAAATGCTTTTTTAAAAAGGCGTTTTTTAAAATATATTGAATTTTTCATAAGGCTCACCATCGCCATTATGTTCTATATTGCGTCCTTGAGTCACTTTGTATATTGCACATAAAGCACACTTAAAACGTTTTATTTGCAACTGTATAGTTGAGTTAGTTATCCCACTTGCTATCTCACACACCCCTGCTAAATGTTTGGGGGTTTTTTTCTGCTCAGGAGTCTAGACTGCCTTTTGTCCCCAGCCATCCCAAATGGACTGATTATATTTGGTTAGTCTGCAGGCAGACTAGGGTTGCCAACTTCTTTTTATGCAGGATTCCTGCTACATTAACAGCTGCTTGCCTGAAATAACTTCTAAGAGCTTCACCTTTTCTTTGTTGGGCATGAAGATGCAATGATAGGGAAAGTTTTGTCTGAACTTTTTTTTTGGGGGGGGTTGTACTTCTCCTAAAAGAATCTGAATCCTGGTGGGGCATGTCAAACAATGGCAATTGCTGGTTTTGGAGTGAAGGCTAAGTAGAACTGCGGTGCAGGTGGAATATCTGGATATTTTTAATTACCCACCCTAGCATTTCAAACATGGACTGCAAGAAACTAGGCATGTGTCAGCATTGTCCTCTCATTCGTGTGCCTACTATCATCACTATCCCTTAATTCCTTGTTTGTAAGAAAATAGTAAAAATTATCATGTACCAGATGGACCATTCCACATCCCAGATTTCATGTTACCCTGTGAATGAGACTAACATGTTCAAAAGCGCATGTATTACATAGCTGCACTTATTTTATTTGTTAAAAGCATGATTGCTTGGAGCTTCCTATCAAGTAATAAACACAAACTTTGTTATTTCATAGTACATGGTCATGGTATGTGTGTATGACATTCTCTTCCCAAAAATATAAAGTGTAGTTGACACATACAGGTACTCTATAGTTGTTCTATAGTTAAACTATGGAATTTGCTCCCACAAGGGGCAGTGATAGCCACCAACCAGGATAGCTTTAAAAGAGGATTAGATAAATTCATGGAGGATAAGGCTGGCATGGCTACTAAGCCTGGTTGGTATTTATTGTATATATTTCATCCATTGCTGTAAGTTGCCATTAGGGCACATCTGGAGGGACACAGGTCCCCCATCCCTGCCTGCCTGTATGTGTGTGTGTGTGTGTGTATGTATATATATGGGGAATATATTGCCCAAGAGCTTCTTAAGCACCTAACTTTGGCTCTAGGTTTTTTTTTTTAAATGTTGGAAATGTCTTTCTCTGTTGGAATGCTGGCAGCTGCATTAAAACTCTATTCACTGCCTTTTAGTTTCAACATTCCAAAGGGTTGAAAAAGCCAAGTCTGCCATAATTTTTCCCTTGCTGCAATGTAATCCTATAAGCATGCATGCAATTAGCATTATTTTCTTCATATAAGCCAGGCATTGGCAAACTCAGCCCTCCAGATGTTTTGGGATTACAACTCCCATCATCCCTGACCACTGGTCCTGTTAGTTAGGGATCATGGGAGTTGTAGTCCCAAAACATCTGGAGGGGTGAGTTTGCCTATGCCTGATATAAGCAAACAGGGTTTCTCTTTTGCGAAGCTGCTCCTTCTAGAAACAGCCATGATTTTGAGGTGGAGGGTGCACTTAAAGCAGTGTTAGTTGCTTTGGGAGATGCATGTTCCTTTCCAAGTGTTCCTCATCCAATATTTGTGTAACATCCTCCTAATTTGTGTGTCTCAGTTTCGGTAGGTGTTCCTTTTGAAGGAAGCCTTGTGTTCAGGCATAGGCAAACTTGGCCCTCCAGATGTTTTGGGACTACAATTCCCATCATCCCTGACCACTGGTCCTGTTAGCTAGGGATCATGGGAGTTGGAGTTCCAAAACATCTGGAGGGCTGAGTTTGCCTGTGCCTGTTCTTGTTTCCCCCTACTAATTAGGTACCTTGCTTGACAATGTTACACATTTTGATACATTTTGAGAATTTATGTTGCAAATAGTCATTTGTGGAACAGCATCAGACTCTAAACTTTCAGGGAAAATGGATCTCACCTGTTGGTGCTGCTTTGCATTGAAGACATATTAATGTTGCATCTTAATTTGTTGTTTGGGGACTTAAATAAAAGAAGGAATGAGGGCATTGAGGACATAAAATAGTAATACATTTTCAGTCATTCTTCTGCTAAAAAGGTCACGTAGCACAGAAAAGCTTTAAAGCAACATTCTAGTTACAGAATCCATTGAGCTGATTTTGGAGCCATTCATATTCATGAAAACTTTTTATTCTGCCAAATCTTATTCAGTGTTCTAACTGCATACCACTCTCTGGGCCATTTGCTTTCAACAAGTTTTGCAGAGTAGTAAACGTAATGAGTTCATCTTTTTAAAAGATCTTTCTTGTGGGAATTCCTGCCAGACATTATTAGACCAATCCCAGGCTGGACTGTCTGACAAACTTGGAGGAAAAGTGGCATAATTATACATAAATTCTGATATCCATCATTACTAACTGGGAATTGTTGTTAAGGAGGTGTGCCTGGTGGAAAGTGTAACCAGAAGTCACTCCTAATAGTGAACACAGCTGGTGAGGGCCAACAGGGTTACAAAATGGGTGCACTGAGAAATTAAGAGTGAGCACTATCAGCATACTTGGTGGAACAAGGTTTGCAGAAATACAGAAGAAAAAAAATCAGGAATGAACACTAAGGGTGCAAGAAAACCCAAAAAGTGTTGAATGAAAATGGTGCATGTTCAATTGGCGTTGACCATAGAACATTTAGTGTCCGTTGCAGAGTAGTGGGAAACTGGGGGACAGGGTGAATCTAATATCTCAAATAGAGGACATGACTGGCTGCAACGTCGAATAGGAGATATTTGCCCTGGAATGTTTTGTTGCAGAGTTTATATTCTCAGCCATGTAAAGGTAAAGGACCCTGGACAGTTAGGTCCAGTCAAAGGCGACTATGGGGTGTGGGACTCATCTCACTTCAGGCCAAGAGAGCCAGCATTTGTCCACAAACAGCTTTCCAGGTCATGTAGCCAGCATGACTAAACTGCTTCTGGCTCAACGGGACACTGTGACGAGTTCCAGAGCACACGGAAATGCCATTTACCTTCCCGCCACAGCGGAACCTATTTATCTACTTGCACTGGTATGCTTTCGAACTGCAAGGTTGGCAGGAGCTGGGGAAGAGCAACAGGAAGCTCACCCCATTGCATGGACTCGAACTGCCAACTTTCTGATTGGCAAATCCAAGAGGCTCAGTGGTTTAGACCACAGCGCCACCCGCTCAGTCAAGTATTGGTCTTCAAAGGGAACCCAGTCACGTTACTGGCTTTTATATGTAGATAAAAACCTTCGGATTTCTCAGTAGTTGCAAATCATACAGTCGGCTCCAATGCATGGATACTCTGAAGACGGTCTCAATGAATTTCAGTAAAATGTATGTAGGATTGATTGCAATTTCAAACAAGCAATCAAAGTTTTAATCCAATTCAGTATACATATTTATGGCAGAAACCATGGATCAAATCAATGTTCGGCATAATTGCCTTTAAAAGGGATTTTAGTATATTTTCCCCCAATCACTTTGCCAGCAGTATAGCAAATGTACATGCTTCCCAAATGCTAGCACTTTATCCCATTTTGTAAGGGTTCGCTTCAACTAAACCATCAAAGCATTGTGTCTCATCTTTTATTCATATTATTTCCCTTCCACATACCCTTTGAATGATTCCGTACCCTTGAGAAAGTGGTTTAGAAGGCAATTAATAAATCAGCTGTAATATTATCATTATTACTATTTTGTGTTCAGTATACCTCTCCCATTAATGTTTTGCTTCCATACAGCTCTATTTGCAGTACGGCCGAGTGAAGGAATTAGTCTATTTCTTTGTAAATAAGCAATGCAAATGTGTAGCTTAGAGAATTCCCAGGAGTGCTAGGAAAAAATTGTGCTCAAGCCAATGTTGCCAGCTCAATTGGAATGCCCATGCCTGATGCATATGAGTTTCAGGTTTTGCTCAGAACTCTCAGAGGAGACTCCAATTGCAACTTCTTCCAGTACTTCCCTCTCAAGCCACATCATAGACCGCCTACAAGTGTCTTGGTGAAGTTACCAGTGCGCCAGTGATTTTTCCCTTGACACCCGACGTACTGCAACTGCTATCATTCACACCAGACCTAAGTTAAAGCGGTGTGGGATTGCATCATCTTTAGACTCTCACAAAAGATACCCAGTCTATCCCACTTCTTCCATGCCAGAAGCAGCATCCTACAAATTGCCCCAAACAGACACAGCGTTGAAGTCCCATAATATACTGGAGACAACAATGGCTTTGGGTGGTGTGGAAACCCTGGCCTCTCCAGCCCTCTAGAACATTCTCCAGCCATATTTCTGCTTTGAGACTGGCAAGTCACATTGACTGCTACTTGTACTACCCCTCTCAAAAACAGCCGATACCAAACAGGAATTTTTATCTAGTATGACAGCGCAAGCAGTTACATTATCTAACTGAACAGAGTCACCCAGACTCCGTGCAGATGAGAATTCTCATGCCTCTCATAAGGTTCAGTTTTACTTTACCATTATTTAGTCTGGGGAATGTTTTCATGTATCCAGTATAAATCATTGGTGCTTTAACATTAATTTGAAGAAGCTGTGGTGGTAATGGAATATAGTAGTGGGATGAGTTGGATAGTTTTAGGTCAGAAAGCATGATTAATATCTGAGTAATCCCTTTGAAGAGGTGATTCAGCCAGTTCTTGTAATATTTCATTTCACCATG